TATATATATATATATATATATATATAATATATATATATATATATGTATATATATGGCTGGACTAACTGGAGACTATATAGATATATATATATAATATATATTTCTATATATATATATATATATATATATATATATATATCATATTAATATAGTATATGTATATGTCTGTGTTTAAGTCATCTCTTGAGTAACAATGCATTGCAAAATTGCCACAATCATGCGTTTTCGATTATTTAAATCAGTGTGGTTCGAGTGCGACATGCAGCCAATTCTTTTCCAGAGGCAATCGGGATCAATTTTGTGTATCCCTGATGGAACCCTATATGTGCACGTTCCAATCCAGCAATCAGCAGCTGAGTGACAAGACTACGACGCTACTGGCCGGCGTGAAATCTCGCATCATGGATTTAGCCCATCTAACCGACGCACCTGATCGATTTTATGGCGGGCGGCTCAGACCGCTGGTGTCGTGCCGAAGCGGACATCGGCTGCACTAGACCGGTTGGACTCGGGAAGCCAACACTGTCTGATGATGACGTGCCGGCGATCGTTAGCCCCGGCCACCCACTCCTCCAGTGCGCGTGGCGACCCGGACGCCCGTGCGGTGGATCTGCCGAGTTGCATTGCTTCTTGTCGGCAGCTGGGCACGGAGGGCGTCCGTCTCTCTAGTTTCTCTTTCGCGCGCGATAGATGGCAGCAGACGCAAGCAATCAATATCATCCGTCCGCCGTGGCTTTGCTGTCCGCTTCGGACCATGGGAACCTGCATCCTTTGGGAAAATCAGTGTGCAGTGGTTGTGTGAGCCGTTGTTGAGAGTGGAGCGGTGACGCGGGCGGCGCCTCCGAGCCGGCGAGCTCTACGCAGTGCGTGTCCGGACGGGCCGCCAGCCCGTGCTCCCCGCAGTCAGCCAGGCGCTCCCCCCACGCGGGCGGCCAGGGAGGGGCGTGCTCGTCCAGCGGGGAGGCGGGCCCTCTCCGGACTACGGGGGCGGCGGGAGCGGCCGTGAAGAGGCCATGTCGGATCCAGCACGCTGCGTCGACTGAGGTACGGAGCTAGCCGTCAAGACCACCCTGAACTAGCAACTTTCGCGATTTCGGGTGACGTAGAATGGGATATGGATTCTGTCTTATCTTTCGGCACGATGTGTTAGACACTTTAAGGCATTCGTCAAGCTCCAAGAGTTACTTGGCTTGGTTTTCTTCGGACAAAGAAAACATTCGGGATCTAAAACTCTGGTTTCTCGAACCCCACGAACACCTGAAATATTACCTTTTATCTGCTTTGTTTTGCACTACATAATGTCAGAGATTAAACGCTGCGATGATTAAATTACCAGCATGATGCTCTGATCTTTGGGCAGATTATGCAACAAACTGCAAAATGATCGCAGTGCGAAGAGAAATTGCATTTTCAAAGCAAATTTACGCGGCAAATTAGGACAGTACGCCGCAACCTTTTGCATCCGTAGCCAAAATCACTCCTGACAAGGCCAGCCCTTTTGAGGAAAAATGCCTGAACTGAACTATGTATATAAACTCCACAAGCAGTGGCTGTTCATCGGCAGGTAATTCATCTTGTGGTTGTCATGGATGCCATTGCGCTGCGGCATGTGCAGACACGTTAACAGTACTCACAGGATGATTTTAACGGAATGCGCTGTGACAGGAAAAAGCTCCTGCAAAGATGAGCTACTGTCATGACAGTGTGTCAGATTACAAACGTCCTACAGCCGTCATAGCTTATGCATCGATATTTCTCTAATGAACTAGCTGGAGGGGAAACAAAGGCGAGTGCAGAGTAAATTCGAATTCACAACGGGCAGAGAGAGTGAGAAAGGAAAGGGGATCGTCGCGGCCTTTGGCGTTCGAATGCTGCCAGTACACTACGGTCTCGTCAACTCCACTCTTATCTCGTGAGTTCATTTCGGGTTGCCGCAGCTGTAGTAAAGAGTCGGTGACCCTTCATACACTGTGGCCGGACGGTCACAGGAGATGTCGGCACGGGCTGTTTGCCCTCTGTACGCACGAAGGCGCTACCCCCGACTTCAGAACTCTTGCAACAAGACAAAGCCATGACCGGAGCTGCTCTGTCGTGACCTGATCTACCGGGGTGACCTACCGACCTGCCGCCGGACGGTCGCAGCACGGCGGCGCGGCCGACGCGTGCTGTGCAGGGTCTCACCACACCTGGCCGCCGTCGGCCGGGCCGCCTTGCTGAGCACATGCCGACGCGGCCGACCCTTGACCCGGTCAGCCGCGGTAATGGAAGGCGCCAGTCAGGACAGTCGCAGACCGAATCGCCCGGCGGCCATGCATTATGCAGCAGCACTGCGTGACCGCCCGGCGCGGCCAGAATATCATATCGTCCCCGGTCATTTCCGGCCGCGTCCGGGCGCGGACGCGGGCGCGGCGCGTGGGAGAGCCGCGGGGCTGCCGCGGCGCGTGGGAGCAGCAGCCGCGCGCGACGGCGCGCTGCCGCGGAGAGGGGAGCTGTGGAGGGTTGGAGGAGAGGGGGGGGGGGGCGGTTGTTCATGTAATGCGTCACTGTCAACGGCGTCAGAATGAGAGACCGGAGAAGCTCGGTCAATGGACCGCCCGTTGTAATGATTCCCGCTCCCGAGGGGGTCCACGGCGATGACCTAGTTGACCGACGGCCGTCACGCCGACGACGTGATTTGTGATCTCCCGTTATGAAGATGGAGGCTTTCTTGCAGCGAATGCGTGAAACGTTTGGCCGCGTTTCGAATTTTTGCGATGATCTTAGCCCCAGGGACGCTGGCCATCGGCGAATTTTTGGCTTAACGCCGAAAGCTTAAGACCACCCGCCCTCTCGCCCCCTGTTCCGAAGCCATCGCCCGAGGGGCCCCAGCATTCCGAAGCCGTCACATCAAGCTCTCATCTCCCGAGGGCTTCACTGTGGCCACTCACCTCCTGTGGTCCTCCAGCGAGCTCGGCCGACGGTCGCCAATAACTCGTCGGCAGCTGGCTAGATGTCTCTGACATCGGCTGACCGGCCGGCTGAGCACTGCCCCGCCAGCCCGCGGCGGCAGCTGAGCACGGCCAGTAATAGTCGAATCGATAGCTGCCAGGGTCGTATGATGCGGCCTGTTGGTTGGCGAACAGACTTCCAGGCGCCCGCCGAGGGTGGCAACCGGTCACCATCCGGGGACGCGGCGGCCAGCCGCTCATCGCTCAGACTTCCGGCGCCCGCCGAGGGTGGCACCGGTCACCACCCCGGACCGCGGCGGCCAGCCGCTCAGCGCACAGACTTCCGGCGCCCGCCGAGGGTTGGCACCGGTCACCACCCGGACCGACGGCGGCCAGTCGCTCAGCGACACAGACCTCCGGCGCCCGCGAGGGTGGGCACCGGTCACCACCCGGACCGGCGGCGGCCGGCCGCCAGACAGACTTCGGCTAGCCATGTCTCCTTGGCGCGGAACGGCAGCCGCGGAGCGCGTTCGCCCTCGCGTTGAGATGGCCAGAGCACTAAGCGGGACTCGGTCAGATTGGGCGGGCAGCACCAGGCGGGGCTCGGTCAGATTGGGCAGGCAGCACCAGGCGGGGCTCGGTCAGATTGGGCGGGCAAGCAACAGGCCCGGGCTCGGTCAGACTGCGCGGGCAGCACCAGGAGGGGTCCGGTCAGATTGGCTGGGCTGCCGCCTGCTAGAGGCAACGCATGCGGAAAAGGCAAGACACGCATCTCTTCTAGAGTTCACACTAGCAGGAATGTAGTCAGTTCTAGCTAGTTGACCACTTACCTCATGCCTAGTTGGTGGGGGTGGGTTGGGAGCTCTAGCTCCTCCGCTGACTTAGGTTCCCACAACTTTGAGAAGGAAGTGGACGAAATCCAAAAGAAAACCTTTTGTTGGCATATCTTGGGTGC